CTCCACACAGCAGTGAAAATGTCCCTTTTGTTTTAAAGCAGAAAGTTTTGTGGCCACTAATACGGCCACCGTATCTGCATTTGTCAGCATGGAGTACCTGTCAGGTGAGGAAGGCACTCAACAGCCATAGCTTTCTTGATTAGAAAAGACTGGTCGTTGGCCCATTACCTTGTTTGTTACGCTGGATAAATCAAAAGAACCTTAAAAATATTGTCCAATCTAGCAGGAATTGAAGCCCTTACTCCTAACAACATGAGAAGTGCCACGAGAGCAGGGCCTGTTAGACCATGTGCAGCCTTTGTCTGGGTCTGCTGGCATTGGCAATTTATCTGAATTCCCAGTGGTACTTCGGTGTAGCATAGCTTTCTTTGCACTTTCTACAATATATATCCAGCTATTAGTTTGAGTTGTTGAACCACCACAGGACCTGCAGTGTCCAGGGCTCCCTGGCTAAGTCCAGGCAGGGCCTTGAACTTGAACTCTGCACTGACCCAGAGCCCTCATAGCTGAACACTTAGTGGGGAGAGGTGCTGGGGGGTCTTCTGGAGTGGTTATGGCCACAGGCTGTGCTGCCATGCATGGGGAAGAGCACAGGACCCTTTGGAAAGTGCCATACACCTACACTTGGGAAGCATTCAGGTTGTATCTTATTGCAAACAATGTCTTGGGGCTTTGGTGTACAACGCACCTCAACTGTTTTTACAGCCTCATTCAGCACCCCTGCACATAGCACCAACAGCACTAAAACTGTTTTGCAACTGCTGGATAAACACCTTCTCCTACTCTCAGCTACTTCTCGAAGACATCTTCTCGCTACATACTTCTCGAAGAGTTCACCAGAGCTTTGCAGAGTGTTCTCTTTGTATGCATTTATGTATAACACAATCAAAAACTAAATGTCATGCATTAAACATTAAATAAGGAAAATGATACTCATTACAAAGGTTTTATAACTTAAAACACCATAATCAAATCCTGATAAAGCTGTAGTAGTAGCGCATTCATAGGTGTGTTATCATTTGTGATGCCAATTAAATTGCCAGTACTTCTCTGTATGAGCCCTGGTATTTCACTGGAGAAAACTTTAGTGTCTTTGAATTGTTCATTCAGACACCCTGCTAATTATTTACCCATTAAGGCAATATTTTATTATCATCCCCCAGGCTTTACAAAAGTCAAATCTTATACAGTTCATATAATTAGTAGCTCAGAAAGTCACTTCTGTTAGATAAAGTTAGGGAAAATAAAATGCCTCTCAGTGATTTAGAGGTTAGGAAAAACAATGCTGTGTGGTAACAAACACAAAAACAAACTTTTTGCGGGGAGGAGGGATAGTCATCGATGCACAAATAATATCTGCAAATGATCTACTTAGCTATTAGCTGAGTGAGGGAGATGCTGTGATAAAACCTTTGAGAGTGCACATAGAAAACAAAATTTCCTGCATACATATGCATCTAGTACAAACTTTCAACTTACATGTAATGTATTTTACATAGGCTGTCATTTTGCATGGAGAAGATGGCTTTTTTATCCCTTTCCAAATACAAAACCATAACGTATTAATAATTAAGTCTCTGAGTTTCTGATTTGCCCATCATGCACTTTGTGCACTGTGTGAGTTCTGAAGAACAAAAAATAGAAATGATAGGAAGCTGGGCAAAAGCTAAAATCCTGCTTCATAAAGGAGTTCGGTTAACATTGAGCATGTAGGTAGTTGTGTTGATTATGCTCTTTAGGGAGTCATATCTTTATCCTTATTTTAGATACCATGTGATTTTAGGACTCTGGAGTTGAATGCCTCAAGCACTGTATATGGTTTGATATCACAGTGAGTAGCAGTGATGCAGTCTGTTATCTCATAGCAGATAATTTACAGACTCCAGTTTTGCAAAATGTTCTGTACAAATTGGAAATGGAACACAAATACCATTGACTTATTTGTACAGTTTTCCTCTAAGTGTTGATTGGAATTGCTTTGAGCTGGAAGTGGTCTTACAGAGCCTTAAGCCCCATGAAAGAGGCCAAACCATAGTCAGTCTTGCTAAAATATGCCAAAGAATTAGAGAGAATCTTCTTTTCTTCATGAGAGGACCAGGATTTACAGACCATGAGTTGTGTTAAGATATACTCAGCTTGTGCCTGTTTAGTAGCAGGCCATAAAACAACCTGCCAAAATCTAATTCATAACAAGTCAAAAGAAATCATAGTCCTTAAAATGTGGCATTGTACATGTTTTCTGTTAAATAAACTTTTAAAAACTTTGATAGTAAATCTAATTTTTACAAGTTTTCCATGGAAAATTATAAACAATTACATCTTGTTAAAGTTGAAATTCTGCCATTGAAGCATAATATTTGCTGGCAGAGTCTAAGCTGTGTATGGCAGCTGAAGTGCTGGTATTTCAGTCCTGTGCTGCATATTCAGTGATCTTAATAGACTGTTTTGTTTCACCTTGAATGTTGACAGTGAGCATTGAGTTACACCAAGAGATGAGTTCTCCCAGGCTTGTGAATATGCAAGAGTTTTTCAACTTGTTTAGGAAAGGCTGGATTTTATTTGAAAGTATGCAGTAATTGTGATTGTCTTATTCTACATTTGGATGTGGGGAGGGTTCTCAACAGCTTCATAAGCATAACCATATGAAAGATGCCCTGCTGTCTTCTTTTTGGAATGTATGGGATACATTTGACATGATGGTGCATGTATTTGGGTTGGCTTCAAAAGAAAGTAAAGGATCTACATATTCACCCATTTTTTACCCTGGCATTTTCATGAGTGTATACATGCTTTCTTTTAAGACAAAAACAAATCAAACTGTATTGAAACTTTAAATACACTCCAGAAAACCATTTAAGAATAAAACAATTGCATTTTTAAATTGGTAGTAATTTTCTCTTTGAATTTTGTATTAGTGAAAAGCTTAAAGTTCAAACTTATCTTGAAAGGGGAAGCTGTGTTTCTTTCGGTCCAAAGTGTTTTATTATTTGAGGAATGGAAGGGAAGATTGAGTTATTTAATGTCTGATAGAAAAGATTTTGGAAGTGATAAGAATTTTAAAAAGTATTCATTTGACTGCAAAGATAACCTTGAATTGCCAACTCTTTAATCACAGACTTCTTTGTGTGGCAACACACATATGAAAGGTAGCTATTAAAACAGTATTCATCTTCAGATAAGGCATGTTAGGGTTTGGGCATGAGAAAAACAGGCGCAAGCATTCATGCCACCCTTCCCACATTCTACTTTACTTCGTCTCTTACTTCCTTCCAGCAAGGTAGGAAGAGTCAGCATCACCAATACTGCTGTCTTCCTTACACCAAACCCACTGTCGTTCCAATCATTGGAAAATTGCCACTGACTGTAATCACACAGGTATCAGACCAGCAGCTATTTAAAGGGAAAATCCCTGCTGTTCCCACCTTTCTTATCTGTAGCACCAGAAATACTTTTATTTTTTTTCTTTAATGACAGCAGGGCAGAATTCCTTCTTCACATCCATTCAGCATAGTCAGAAGAACTCTCTGGAAGAACTGCTGAAATAGTTGAGTCATAATTAAGCTCTTATGCTTACATTTGAAAAATTGGCTTTGGATTCTGGTAAGGAATCAGCAGTTACTTTTTTTCAGCTCCTCTCACTCCTTGTCCCCCAGACACTTAATGAAACCACTTTGGTATCAAACAGGTGCTTTGGAATCAGAAGCAAAACTAATCTGTGCATATGTTATCTTAAAGTTAGTACCTTTTAATGACAAACCTACTTTGAATTGATAGTTTATCTGTAAAATTCATAATTCCTGGTGTTTATTTATAGAGCGTTATTGCCATATTGCAAGAGAAGGAAATGCAGCCTAGTTCCTGTAACGCAGTATAAAGGAAACAGTCCTGAATATGTCGAAACAAGAAAACTCCACATGGGTCTTAAAAGTAATAATTATAGCAAGAACTTTCATTGTACTGATGAAAATCAGGAGGAATTTGAGCCTGTGCTGTCTGTACATGCTAGAATTGCTCTTCAATTTGTTTTTGTTCTGTTTGTTGACGGGAATCAAAAGACAGTAACTGCAGAATATACTGGTGTGTGTTTAAACTTGGTAGCTGGAAGAAGAAAGGAAGAAATCTGTTTAAACGTGTGTGACAATTTCTGAGGACAGTTTAAAAATAATATTTCAGAATGCTAACCAGGCACTTTTATGAAAATTTAACTAGTTGTTTCTGCTTTAAAGGCCAACGGATGGGCATCTAAAGTTTTGCTGTCACCAACAACTTCTGGGACTCCATCTCCAGCTGGGTGGGCAGTGGGCTCTGATCATTGCAATATCTGTCCCCAGGGCAGCTGCTATCCCAGTTGTTTGTTAACACGGTAAAGAGTAGCCTGAGGCTTGCTGTAGTTTTGTGATGGATTTATTGGCACCTCTTTCCTAGTCTCCAAAGATTGTTGAAGCAACACCGCACAGCCTTTATTCCAATAAGGTGCAAAGGACCCATCTAATATGACCCTTCTGTAAGTGCCATCTCAGGGGACTGTGGACAGGTCAGACCTACCTGTAAGAACAGGGGTGTCATCCTTGTCATCAAGGCATTGTGAGGACAAGCATCTTGAGCCTTACGAATCTCCATTACTTCAATAAGGAAGCCATATAAATAGAATTGACGGATGAGAAAGTATCCCATTCTTTCTATTTATTAATATACAGAACAGACATAGATCATAGACAGTGTGCTTGTGTTTACTGATATTAGTGAAGTTTTCTAGGTGACAACTTCAAGCAGCAGCAAGGGCTGTCAATATATTAGGAAGCTGTCTCTTTCAATGTTTTCACATCAGATACCAAGAAAAGCATTTTTTTGTTGTTGTCTGTAGACCAAAACAAAAACTTTAAACTGGTGAGAATAATATGTATCTAGGTTGAAAGAGAACGCGTTATAACTGCATGAAGCAGATTTTACCTATGGCCAAATCTTGCTGCTATTAATGACATTATTTTCTTGTTTTGCAGCTTGCAGGCCTGGATTCTATAAAGCATTTGCTGGAAATGTAAAGTGCTCCAAGTGCCCTCCACACAGTTCAACCTATGTTGAAGCAACTTCAGTATGTCAGTGTGAAAAAGGTTACTTCAGAGCTGAGAAAGATCCACCAACTATGGCATGTACCCGTAAGTCTGATCAGTACCAGTCTCTGCAATTCTCTTGCATGCATCATTTTTGTATTTAAAAAAACAATGGCACATTTTATGAAGAATCCTGCTAAAAATTACCAATAGAGATTTTTAAAATCAAATTTTGAACAGCAGAATTTTATTTAGTACTGGTATCCCTGAAAATACTGACATGTTTTGTACTTCAACGATTTATTAACTTGTAGTTCTGACAAGTAATATAAGGTTTGTAATCACTGTCATAGAGATTGCAATGTTGAATTTTAATTATCAGTATATATTTTGAAGACATGAAAATATGTGCAACATCCAAAAAACTGAGGATGCTTATAAACAACAACAAAAAACTGATATGGCATAAACTCCTGTCTCCTCAGATTAAAAAAAATAAATAAATAAGAGTACTGTTGCAATAACTAGCAGTGCACAGTCAATTTTTTGGTGTGTCTGATCATGTAAAAGTAACTGAGCTGACAGCAGTAGAGTCAAACCTTTTCCCATGCTAACGGTAGTGTCACCATATGGCACTGTTCTGGGTAAATTGGGAATATACCATACAATTTGGATTCATGAAGTTCTAGGCATTCCATACTCCTAAGATCATTACACAGACTAAGCCTTGTCTGTCTACTGAATGGGAGTGATCTTCATCAAAAATGACATTTCACAGATCCATGGAGCTTATCAGGAAGTTGTCTAATCTAACCATAGAGCATTCAGAGGTGAAGGGTAAGTCCCAGTCTCCAGCTGCTGAAGAGACATAATGTCATGACACATAAGGTTCAAATAAGGACTTCAACCCAAGTAGCACAATCTGCTGTCAGACCACTCTGGAGCAAAGCACATAGGCCTGTCATTTTTCACAGAATATGCGAGGGGGAAAAACTCTGTTTATCCAGACTTCCCACAGGAAGATGGGCTTACATATAATTCCAGTCAAATGAGTGCCCTGAGCACAGGCCTTGAAAACTTACCCACAGAACTAACACACAATCCAGGCACCCTTGACAGTTTCATGCTTAAGACAATGGTTTCACTCATGCATTATGTACATCTGAATCCATATTGTTTATGTCATTGATTTTTCATTTACAAAGGACAGTTCTCTGAAAAATTACTCATGCGTGGCAAAAGGTTTCCCTCATTGTCTTTCAGGGCTCGGTTTTAAACCCTGCTACTCACTACTGTTGGTAAGGTTTGTGAGGTGTGTGTGATCCATGTGGCATCAAGGGAGTGGGTACTTACAGCACCCTGAATCCCTCTTCCTCACACTATAAAAAACTGCAGAGAGCTGCTTTGGTTGAAAACTGTCAGTAAAGACTTTTTGCCAGACCACTTTGTTTTTCTGAGGACATCAGGCAAAGCAACCAAGTGAACTGAGGAAAAGAAGAAAACAACCACAACATCTCATCTCACTTCAGCCTTGAAGAAATAGTAAGGGAGACAGTGAACCACATTCTAGTTTTTGCCTTGTTCCTTGTTCAGTGCCACCATGCATTACCTCTTATTCAGCCTAGATTGCAAGGTGTCAGTGCTTCATTGAATGTAACAGCAGATATATTCATCTTATACCTACAATGATGATTATTTCACTAATTGTCAGCTCTGCAAATGACTAAGCTTCTGACAGGCAGACTGTGCTCTTATCTTCTTTCACATCATCAGTAATGAAGAATCTGCAGACCAAATTATTCCCTAAGTGGTATATTTAGCCCCACTGCTTTCAAATTATGCTCTCAGTTATTAAAATTGTTTGTCATAAATGCAACCTCACTGCTTTTGGAGGATCTGTACAGATGTGACTAATTTAAATTTAATAAACAAAGATACTAGTGATGTATGAGACAGGTTAGAATTTAGCTTGTTTCTTCCAAACTGTCATGCTTTGCTCTAATAAGAGGAGATGAAAAGTTAGGAAAAAATAAGCCACCTAAAATTCATAAAGAGAAAGGGCTGTACAGTAAGAAAATGAATTTTGTACATAACTATTCTTGGACCAAATCTACATTTTTTATGTCAACCTGCAAATTTGTGTTCTGACGTATTAGTCACATTTTTCTTCTGACTTTTTAATCAAGAGTCATTCTTGAATCAAACACAGAATTAATAGTGAATTCACTTTAAAAACCCCTTCATCTTGAAATATTTTAAACCAACTACATTCATGCCTTTTTTATTTGCTCCCTAGATCCTGCAAAGCAAGATGGCTAAAATAGGTAGATCACAGCATTATAGACTCACATAGAGGGCTTGGGTTGAAAGGGACCTTAGAGAGCACCCAGTTTCAATGCACTGCCGTGTGCAAGGTTGCCACCCACTAGATCAGGTGCCCAGATTTTTTCTTTCTTTCTTCGCATTCCTTTGTGGGATTAGACATTATTTCTCACTCCAGTATTTTTTCCTTGGTACTGAAAAACTTGCATAAGCAGCAGTATGGAGATTAATGGCCTTGATTTAAGACGCCATGCATTTAAGAGCCTAGCTTCAGGCATCCATTTTTTTTAAGCTCAGCTTCGAATCTAGTATTATTAATTCTGCACAAGTGCATATTGTATGTTTTTCCTAAATTGTACAGTATTTTATAGGAGCATGTACTTTGTAGAAAAGCATAATAGAAGGGAAAAAGAAAGTGACATTAGGATGTATTGTTAATTACTTTCTCCTAGCCTTTTTCCACTTGATTGACATTTTTTATCAATCTCTTGCTACTGTTCTTTATCCTTATTGTATTTCTTTGCCATATGTGAATGTACTCTATCACTGATCTCTCTGTACATACAGTGAGCAACAAATAGCAGCATTACCTAATTCTCCATCTGATTACTGTGTACATAAACTCTAACATTTTCTACTATAATGTAATTGGATAGATTGATCCATCTTTTCAAGGTCAGAGACAGGCAAATTTATGTTGGGTCTCTGGGTCTGAATATGTCTCTTTTCATATTAAGAGACATATTAAGACATATTGTTTCATATTAATTAAACAATTTTGCAGCAGTAGTGCTTATGTTCTGTTCAGTAACCACTGCTACAAACCGTATCCTCTATACTGAAGCTCCTTAAGGTCCACCTCTGTTTTCCAGCAGTAAAATCAAGCAACATGCTTGAAGCCTTTGACTCTACTGCTGCTATTGTTATTTATATGCATATATTTGGGTGCAATTTATGATTATGCTCAGACTTAGAATATTCCTTTGCAGTCACCAGTTCCTATCATGTGGAAATTCTTCCTTCCTGCCTCACTGAGAAAGAAATAAGTAATTCTGAAAAGGCAAAAGTGTCATACAGCATTCCAAACCAAGTGGCAATACTCATCTATATTGCATATATGTGTATATATAAGAAAGCTACTATGAGCACAGGGGACACAGCTAGATGCTGATTCTGGGTATTCTAAGGAGGTGATTAATTTCAGCCACATTCACTGTGAATTTAGTAGTCAAGTAACACCCAATTATTAGAGTTTAGTAGTTGGTAATGAGCAGTTCTCACTTGAAAAAGCAGAAAGTATTTTCCAGACTGTCATTGCCCAGTGTTTAAATACTACATTGCCTTCACTAGACTTCTGCAGCATTTTGACTGCTCCTCCCTCCTTCCACGAAGGGCAAAATGCACTTCACCTTCATGGAAGGAGAGGATGCACAAAGAAGTTAAATGAGGTACAAATCACTGCATGAGGCATAAACTCAGCTCTGTAGCTTTTGGAGTGAGTCCTCTTCTCCATAATAAATCAGTTCCAGTCTGCTCCACAGAGAGTGTAGAGATAGTTTTTTTCATTATAATTTGTAAATGACATTGTTCACACCCAGGCTGTTTTTATCCAAAAAGCAGAAGAGCTGCCTTTTTTTCCAGTGCTCAACCATCTGAAGTGTCTTACTCTTCTACATAAAATCTTAAGTCACAAATTTTGCTGTTGAGAAAAGGATCCATCATTTTCACCAGTATACTTGATTTCCTTAAAAATCAGTGTAAGGAAATCCCCAAGAGTTTTGCCCATAGACGTCTGCAGAAGGGTTATTGCTGCCAAGATTTTTGATGTGTTGAATAATCTTTGTATAATTTATAAATGATAACAAAGCAATCAGGCCACATTCATAAAAGCCCAATGACACATAATTTAGCTGAATCTGAGGGCTAGAATTAATTGTTTCTCTTTGTTCCAAGTTCTAAATCTTAGTAAATGATTCACTGCATGTCATTACAGCTTAATATTTGCATGAAATCACAGTTTAACTGGCATAATTTAACAGCAATTAAAAAGCTATTTAATCATCATGCAAATTGGCATGAGGGGCTTTCAGTATGAAGGGTGAAGTTTTTTTTCAGACGGACAGCCATTACTTTCAGACATCCCTAATGTAATTGATTATGTTCTCCTATTTCATTGAATTGTGAATATACAATAATTCATGTTTCCTATTATAATTGAGAATTAAATCCCAAATCATGAATATAGCATATTCATAGAAAATTAGGAATTTTACCTTACATGTACATAGAACTACAAATCAAACAAATTAATTTTTTTTTTAAAGGAAAAAAAAATGTTTCCTGGTGCCCAGATACACATTAAATCATATGTTTTGGCCTGCTGGAGCCTCTGAAGTAACATATAAAACCTGAGCTGTGATGACCCATTGTCATATCTGTTGTTTATGTAAGGTAAAATTTAAACTAGTTTCAAAACACCGGCTCCAGTCCTGTGAGTGATGACACACATGCTTAATTTTAAGTGCATGAGTATTATCAATTGTTTCATGGGGGTTACAGATCAGCTTAAAGTCATGCGAACACAGGGATGTGATTGGGCTCATCCTCCATATTCCTAACACTCCTCATTGATTTTAACAACGAGAACTTGTTAAGACCAGTCATTATTTAATTATAGCAATGTATTTAGAGGAAACATAATTATCCTCTCTTCTACACATAAATACTAAGAACTGAAGCTGAATTCATCCATTCTGGTTTTAGTTTATTCCAGTCAAAGAACTGTTTTCCAGAGTAGCTTCAACTGCCAATGTCATTGTAATTTTACAGGAAGTTAAGGTTTTAAATCTGAGACACTCTCAGATTGTAGAGGCTTGTTTACTACATCAGCATCTTCAAGGCTGTACCTTGCCTCTGCTGTCCGCATCAGTGGAAAAATGAAGCATCAATGTAAATAGTCATTGTTAACAAGTTACATTTATAAATACTTCCATATTACGTTATTTCGTATTTCACTATTAGATTTATCACAGCCAGAGGCCAGGAAAGAAATAGTCGAAATGATTTGTGAACATAAAAACTGCAAACTACAAAAATAATTTTCATCTGTCAGGTTCCAGAAATATTCATCTTCAGCACAAATGAGGCACATAACATTCAGCAAATATTTCCTCTCTACCATGAATAATAACTGCTCTTTACTTTTGCCCTACCATAAACTTTACGCAGGTAAATATAAAAATGAATACATAATTCAAAATATTTTAAATCTTCTTATCCACTGAAAAAAAAAAAAGTAATATAGTACCTCCAAGTACTTTAATGATCAAATGCTTGAAATCTAATACCTAACTCTTCATTAACCTTAGGGCAAAAATCATTCTAATAAAACCATAGTTCCTGCTGTTTAGTATTACAAAAGTATCAGAAGTCAAAAAGCAACTCAAATGTTCAACTACAATTCACAGAAAACCCCAGCATTTTTTAGTTCACATCATTCCTCCCATGTCATATAAACAGTTTTTCCTTTTATAAGCATTCCAGCTTTTATTCTTATGCTGCATAAATAAACAGATAACATCACTTTAAAATTATAAATTTTGATGAACAGTGACATTTTGTTCTGCAACTATTATTGCCTCTTTCCTTCTTTCAAGTTAGAAGTAATTCTCTCTGCAAAACGTAGGTATAATTGTATAGATCTTTACCATTGTACAGTATTCTGCTAAAATATAAGATGAAGTAATGTTTTCAATTAAGGTATGGTCTGTTTTTGTAGTCTAGGTCATCTTCAAGAAATAAGAAATTGAGTAAATAAGTTTAGTTCAGTTATAGGTGCATATTTACGAGCTACTCATAAGCTTGATTTTCTAAATCACAGCATCTTTGCTCAGCCAAAAAAAGTAGCTTAAAATAATGCAAATATTAAGAAAAAATAAGATTTAAAAATTTGAATTGAATAACTAGGAAAAAGTGATCTAACTTGATTATATTTTTTTAACTGAGATTTTGAATCCAAATTTATATGTGGAATAGCATGAGGAGCTTTAGTAATTTTGTTTTCCTTCCTAATGCAAAGTTATGATTTACCTGACTATCCTTTGGGCATAGGCCTTGTCCTCATGCTACAGATTGTTGAATTGGAACTTATAAATGTGTTGATTAATTATTTGGGGGGGGTTGTTAGTTTGGTTATTTAGTTCTTCTCTGATTGTCTTAAATTTCTATAAAAGATAGTTACGATATTTCATTTATCTGACTTTCTCAGAGTGGACTGACTTCACTGCTCAATTTCTGGAGTGAAATCTACAACAATGAGCTGAGATCATTTTCAAATGTTTTGTACAGTCCTTCAGGCTGCTTTAGAGTCCTTGGAATAATGAAAAGCTCACTCAAAGTTTAACCAGTGTCTCATAGCTATGTCTTAATGGCAGGTTGTGTAAATCATGAACATCTGTAAAGCAAGTTTAAAATTTTGAAAGCTCTACTAACAATTGACTGAACTGTCCTCGTGCACTCTGACTTAATCTTGAGATCTGAAAATGTAACGCTCATTGAAGTCAACAAAAATACAGAAATCACCAGTTGGGTTTACCACATTTGTCTTACATCCAAACCTGTAGCATAAAGCCTTGAGTTTTGTCCTGTGTGTAAGTTTTACGGATGTTTAGAAACTGTCTTTGAAAACTGTGTGTCCTTTGAAAACCGTGTGTCTGTCTTTTGTGTCTAATGCTCTTAACCTGTGACCACCTACCTCCATTAATGAATAACAGCAAAGAAATCCCAGAGGATAATAGCAGGAAATGATAGGGGGAAAAAAAGAAAATCTGACTGCAGGATTAATACAAACAATTTTAGTTCTTGTACTTATTCGGAAGCTGTTATTTATTTATTTGCTTACTCATTTTAACTCTTATAAAACATCAAAGAGCGTAAGTATCAGAAAAGCCTACTTTGCTAAACGTAGAATAAGGAAGTAATTTTTGTGGTTAAAGCTCAACATCAGTACCCTACAAGATCAGTTGATATTTTGTGCAAATTTGTGTTACCAAGCCTAACTTGGACGTTCCCAACTAATTTATATGTTGCCCTAAATTATTTCTGAAATAAATTCTAACTCATTTAGATTTTTCAACTTCTTATAATGTTGCCTATTTATTCTTTCTGGTTAATATTCAAGGAATTTAATTGTCTAGACAATTTCTAAAATTTTTCTTTTAATTCACTATTCAGTCATCAGTGTTTTAATGCCTGTTTGTAAATAATTGCCTTAACATTAATATAATTATTTATGTATCTCCTCCCCCCCGCCCCCCCAATGGGCAGTTGTCACTTAGCAGTCTTTCTTTACCTTCTTTCCAGGGCCACCTTCTGCTCCCAGAAATGTGATTTTTAACATTAACGAAACAGCTCTCATGTTGGAATGGAGCCCACCAAGTGATACCGGAGGAAGAAAAGATCTCACTTACAGTGTCATCTGTAAGAAATGTGGGTCAGATGCCAGCCAGTGTGAAATATGTGGGGGAGGAATCCGCTTCATTCCCAGGCACACAGGTCTCATCAACTCCTCTGTGACGGTGCTGGACTTCGTGTCACATGTGAACTACACCTTTGAAATCGAGGCCACGAATGGCGTCTCGGAGTTGAGTTTCTCTCCCAAGCAGTTCACAGCTATCACAGTTACCACAGACCAAGATGGTAAGTCACTGTACTGCATGTCTGCTACTTTGACCCTGTCATCCCTGCATATACTGGGGGTATCATTTAGATTTTTCGAAATCTAGGTCAGGGAGTTTGATGCTTTGCAGGTTGCAACGTGCTTTTATGTGTGACAGCTTTCAGTTGCTGCTGATGAGGGCACTAAGTGTTTTTGTTAGTTTTGGCCATTGAGCCTATTACACAGGGCATGAAATCATATCTTTTTGTTTAAAACATCTTTCTGTATAAATTGAGTGCATGCTTTAACTACCTGAATCTACTAGTGGTTTGTCACAACTGGAGTCTGTGTCTGATGCTTTTCGAAGTCTTTCCATAGGATTTTGGTTTTGAAAAACTAAAGCACCACTTTATCCATCAATTTACAATTTATAGGTAAAATAAAAGCAAACTGGTTTCCTTTAGTATCCATGTTTCTTAGTATGAGTACAGTGTGCTTCACTGTAAGATACTCCAACATCCGTATGAGCCATTTTCTTAGATGAGGTAATCTAAAAGATTTTGTCTTCCTTTAATTGTTCCTTTTGTATTTATTGTTTCTGAGCTTCCCTCCCCCTCCATTTCAATTCAAATTCATGTTGAAGGCAGTTCTTTATGAGAAATTTGTGAAATAAAAGGAGTTCTATAGTGAATTTCTACAACTATTTCCCCTTCCATCTATAGAAACAATTTCTATGCCAGCAAAAGCAGTGTCAGGTTACCGACAAAGCAGCCTATATGGCAGTGTTATCTTCTGGCTTGTGCTACTATAGATCAGAAGGTTATTTCAGAATTATCTCTTGCTGACATTTGTTCCAGAAATATTTTTTACCTGCTGTGCAATAACATTGCAACTGTAGCTGAAGTGTTAAATGTAGGACAGGAACTGAATTGGCCAAATGAGGGTTTGGAGTGGCAGCAGGCCTTTGGAAATACAAAAGTATTTACAGAAACTGCTGATGTTGAGAAGAATACTGTTTTGTAGGAAGGCCTTGGGTTCTTTAATTGATCGATCAGCCTAGCAAAAATCTGCCTACCTTTGTATCTGGAGCAAGTAGTTTTGTTGATGAGTAAGTAATGACTTATTTGCCTTTGGGCATACCAAAATTAACAGCTTGCTGTGATGATGATGATGATGATCACAATGATGGTAACTCTAATAATACTCTTGAAAATGGATTGGGAAAGCCATGAAAACTACTCACTCACCCTTAATGTGATGATAGTAACAGAACAGCTGATTATATAAGGTGCTTAATGATACGCGCCTGGCAATGAGAATTGTCTTAAGCTCTTAGGCTACGCATCACATTATGAAACTTTATTTCCTTTTTTATTAGATAAAAAATGTCATGCCAGAAACTCCCCCTGTATATACACTTATTTTTGGAAGTGTTGTTACATGATACTAAACTCAAGTCACTTAGCACGCACAGGTGGAGGTCACCAGAGATACAGCTTATTTTTAAAGTGGCTCACAGCTATCTGAACACGCACTGTGAATTGTATTTAAGCAGTAGGCTTTTTGCTGATGTCTGTTTCTGGTTTAGTGATATAGATTTTGACTGCAGTGTACTCAAAACAGGAATAAGACCAATGTTTTGATAATTTGTGACGCACTGATAGTAAATGCTAGAGTGTAGGCTGCTTGCATGCCCTACAATAATTCTTACGTTGCAAAAAAAAAGCTGTTGAAAGGGCTTCAGAGAATTTAAGACTAGATTTCCAGAATATCAGTTGGTTTATTTGGATATAAAAAGATAGCTTTGCAAGAGGAAGCATTGTTAAAAATGAAATGGAGGCATCTATAAAATGTAGTTAAAAGAAAAAGTAATTTTAGTAGGCTTAGAAACTTGTGTAAAATCATAAAACTGGTAAGTATGTATGTAGAAGGAAAAGAGAGCAAGATACTGTCATATGAAAGAAATTTTGGAAGAAAATTAATGGAGGTTTGGTTTATGGAAAATGAGAGGACATGAATAAACATTTTTTGTGAGTTTAGTTTCGTCATGAAAAAGAAGTGGTAGTATGGAGAAAGCTAGAGTATCTGACCTAAGGAAACAAAATTCTATATCTAAAGCTTCATTGCAGAGCTTTTATTAATGTTTGTAAATCATGCTAATGTAAATCATGCTAATGTTCTGTGATAAAAGGATTTATGACCTTTTTGATTTCTATTGGAAGCCAGAAATAGTAAACAACTTAGAATTTTATTCTTGCCATATTTACCAGAATTACAGGCCTTTATATTGAAAATATTTTCCAGATGTACCACCAAGCAGTAATCTCACTGTTACAGTATTTCCTTCTAACTTTAATCATCCTCCTGAAATGGGCACTACTTATTGGCAGATACTGTAAAATCATGTACATGTTCATATAAGCAAAAGATCCAAGGTTAAAGATAGGAAGTTGATAACAGGTCAGAAACATCCTAATGTGGGCAAGGACTGCATTACCAAAAGTCCAAATTTGAGACAATTTTTCCTTTTTAATGTGTCTAATTTCAAAAAAATCTATATTTATAATAACTTACACTTAGACAACATGTTTATCTTCTGTTCATGTCTTCTTTTTGTATGTAGTTTTTTCATACACAATATTTTGATATTTTTTACTATACACATTACATAGTGCTTAATCTCTATTAAATACAAATTGTTTTCTTCGATTGTTGCATCTTTTTCAAGAATGTGGAACAATATCTTAGCTGTTCTAAATCCAAATCATTTTGTTAGGTGCAATAATTGACGTTAGCTGAGGAGGTGGCATTTTATTTTATTTGAGCATATTGGATTTACTTCCCCCTTGTGGCCCCCCCCTCCCCCCCCCCTTTATTTTTTCTTTACATTTTTTGACACTTGATTTGAAATTATAGTCTTCTTTAAACATACAAAACAGTTTGTTGTTTTGGGTTTTCTTCTCGCTTTTTAGAGAGGATTCTACTATTAATGCAGGATTAATGCAATGAAGTGTACATACCATGGGCATACACAGAAACTGAAGAGCTGTATTATAACACAGTTAGTGAGAACAGTTTGAGAGCATCAGAGGGAGAATATTTGCTGACAGGAGAAGTGAACTAATTAAAAAGTGATTAAGACTCATCTCTAGGAGCTAATATTAAAATCTTAACTGCCTCTACATGGAATCACCACCATCGACAAGATTGAGTACGCTGCTCAGCTCTAACAGTGACAAGAGGCAAACTGAATGAAAGTAATACTAATTTTGAAAAGGTTTTGCAGACTGCATCCTGCAAACCACTTCATGGTTTGAAGAGCAAAGCATTTCCAGATCTGATTGAATACTAGAAAAAAACTTATTGACACTACTGTAAGCTGTATAAAATCAATTTGTTGCCATTCGCAACTTGTTTGCTTATTACTTTTGTGCAAAAAATCCAGTAGCCTTATTTTTCTGACTTTCATAAGGAAACAATGTTTATGCAGTCATATTGTCTATTGGACATACTGAAGATACATTATGGAAGTGTGAAAAGTGCCCTTGGATTTTATGTTCCCCAAGTTGTAGGTTAGAGCTTTAAGTTAAAAAGCAAAGCGCAATTGCGTTAGGCCAGCCGACTGACCACCTAGCCTGTCTATTGACTATTCAGTCAAGAAAGAAAGAATATAGTTGGTATACAACCACAGAACATGCTGTCTTGTCCAGCAAGTGTAGCAAACAAAGACAGGATAAGGCTGTGTTGGAAAGGTTAGATGTTGCAGGTGGAGAGATGAGCGAAGAAGAGATGTGTGTTAATCTTGTATAGTATTGTTTCTAAATGTTGTAAGAAATGAGAATAATCCATACTTTCAATTCATATATGAACAGATAGAACAAGATTCTGCACTTAAGTCCCTGTTCGAGGAAGAATATTACTATGAAGTGAAGTTCATATTAACTCTGAAAGTAATTTGTGAACAGCCGAAGGGTAAAACATACAAAAAATCCTCATCAACTACTGTTGTCCTGCAGAGTGCTATGATGCCTTTATTTGTGGGGGTGATAAAGTATTATACAGGAATAAGTATGCTGAGCATGAAGTAATTGTACTCAGTAGACTTTAAATCACTGTGTAACGAGGTTCAGAATTATATGCTGAATTGTAATTTATTTTTTCTTACAACTAATGGAAGGAAGGGACACCTCACTGCATAACTTTCTTACCACACCTTGGAGTCTGCATTACATAAGGAAAACTCGGAAGTACTTGAGGTTTTTATGCATAATTTTGGTAGTAAATAATGAATAATTAAGCAAAACAGAACTTAAAGCAATAGTTCCTATTTCCAAATAATAATCAACATATGCATTCACTCAGTAAGCATTTGTATGTTCTTTTACTTGAGTGCAGTGGTTTTTTTTAAAGTTACTGTTTGGAGGAGTGGAGTTGTGAGACACATCCTGAGTGCCTGGTTATGTATGTAGAGACAGTATGACTAGCGTTTTCAGTGGCACAACTGAGGAGTAGCGCTCTGTAACTAGAGTGCCTCTGAGTATTCTTCTCACTGTCTGATCTCTATCTTGGCCTCGTCGTGTCCCTCCTGTGGAACTCTGTGCCTGCAGTCCTCTACTCATCTTTTTTATGAGTGCTACAAGCAGTGACCTCCCCTAAAATCACATTCTAGCCATGGGACATTTTGCAAGCATCATTCAATTTGTGGGTTTCTTCTGCATGTCTTTCCTGCCTTGGCAGAAAGTTGCCACTGGAGAAGTGTTCCTTCTGCCCAAAAAAGCTCATTTTATCCTGTCTCAGTCCTGCAGTTCCTGAGTGACTCTGGCCTCCACGATATCAAAGACCTGCTACTGGTGGACAAACTGACATGTGAGACTTCCTTCTGCCTGGGCTTACACATTGTCACTGTGCTAGAAGCCTGTCTAGTTATGCCGTGCTTGTCTGATGCAGAGAGCCTGTGCCTAGCTGAAGTGTTACGGCAGATTCTGAAACTGGAAATCTGGGCACCATTCCTTTATTTAATTCATATTATCTTATATCCATT